CGACCTGGTCCTCCGTAAGATCATGGCACCCGAGCCCGGCGTGGGCAAACTTGGACCGAATTGGGAAGGGCCCTGCCGAGTAAAGAGAGCGCTCGAGGGGGCATACGAGCTCAAAACTTTAGAGGGCAAGCAAGTACCCCGAGCGTGGAACGTCGTTAACCTGAGACGATACTACCTATAGATCACCAAGCAAAGTGGACTAAGTCGCTACCAGAGCCTTAAGGCTAAATGCCGAGCTAACAAGGACCTCGACATAGGCAAGCAAAGGCAAAACAGGCCGCACGAGTGCAGTAACCCGGGCAAAACGGATTGGGCATATGGTCTGTTTGGCCATACGGTTAGTTCGGAAGAAAGAGTGACCAACACTTAACCAAAAGAAAATCTTTCCATTGCAAAATACTTTGTGTACATTTCCAAATATATATATATATATATATATATACCGAGCCGGAGGTAGTTCTTCACCATCAGAAGGCACTTCAACGATACCCGAAGGTCCTGCCTCATCCTTAGAGTCCGGTTCACCGTCTGCAGCGTTGGCCATCTCCTGAGTAATGCGCGAAGTGGTTATGGCGCTAATATCGAGCTCGGGGTATGTATTCTGGATCATCCACCGGCTCAGTTTAAAGCCCCTTCTGTACGAGCCCACCATCAGGTCGTCAAAGCACGACGAGGCGATATATTCATCGACGACCTTCTTCTTGGCATCCTCGATGCCCTGAGAAAAGATCTTTGTCCTCTCCCTAATATCCTCTTGAAGGTATTCAACCTGATGCTGCAAGTCCAGCCTCAAGTCCGCCATAGGCTTCACCACCACTCCCACGGCCTCGGTATCTCTCTAAGACCTCGCCAGCCTGGTCTATGTAGCGCGAGAAGCCGCCTCAGCGCGGGAAGCCTCTTCGGCAGCTCGTGCCCGCCTTGAGCTCCTTTCCGCTTGGGCCGATAAGGCATGGATAGAAGAATTCACCTACCAAAAGGAAAAATAACAAATGTTCAAAAGAGCAATAGCAAGGAAGATAATGACAAAGAGCCCGACAAGAAATCGCTGACTTACCACCATGGCATTAGTGGCAGCATGACAAGCTACCTGGTTCAAAGGAAGCTCAGTCCATGCTGCAACCTCCTCAGGGTAAGCGGCCTCCCTACTTTTTTGAAGAGCGTGGTCGGCGACAACACGCTCCTGAACTCGCCTTGGCCTCCCGAGCCTAAAGGACCAACTCGCGTATAAGCAGACTCAGTGTAAGCGGGAGCCCCCGTATAAGCAGCCTCGACGTAAGGGGCCCCTGCCGCTTCTTGTACTGGAGGGGCCATCTCGGGCTCTCTGGGCGGATCCACTGACGGGTAGTCTGGTACCTCGGGATCCGCATCTCGGGGCAGCTCGGCACGAGTTCGTTTGGCGACTCGCTTCCTCCTCTTCATGATGTGAAACAGGTTCCCACCGCGAGTCTTCTCTGCGTCCATCGCACTTGCAAAAAGAGCTCGGCATCAAGAAAATGAAAGAACAGAAAGCAAAACAAAAGGCAAGCCTCTGAGTAAGGAACCTACCCGAACTCAGACCGGCCTTGATGAGATTGGCCTCCGTCAGATAATGGTGGCATTTTAGCCCAAGCCGTGCCCATTCTCGGAGGCCCTTCGCCGTCTCCCTATCAAGCGTAACACCAGCATCAGGGGCAGCCATCCCCCACCCGGTTTGGAACGGCCACCCCAATGCACTTCGCACCCCGAAGTAGTCCCGTTTCCACGCCGGGACCTTGTTGGGAAGATCGTGTAAAAGCTTAAACCCCGGGCGAGGAGACAGGTAATACGCCCGCCTACGAGCAGGAAGGGGACCTGCTTGCTTCTTAAGCATTAGAATGGAAAAAAATATCTCCAGGTCTAAAGGCAAGATCTGTTCGCAAAATAGGGAGATGGTCCCCACCAAGTTACGAATAGAATTGGGGTGAAGCTGACCGACAGTAACGCCGAAGTGGTTCATAACCTCGACAACGAGGGGGTGGAAAGGCAAGCGCAACCCAGCGACGAGTTGCTCCCGGAATATCACGATCTCATCGGGACCGTGTTCCCAAGGGAAATTGCCCGAGGGTATAAAGTAAGTGTACTCCCTAGGCAAGTTGAACTGGGTAATAAGGGAGTGAAGCCCCTCAGGCGTCATGGTCGAGGGCCCAAACTTGTCTAATGTCCGACCTCGACGGGAGGAGGACGCCAAACTACCCGAGGCGACTCGGCCTACGGGTTCGAACTCTTCCTCGAGCTCTACCTCGGGTTCACTAGAGCTGTCAGGGGGATGCGGCTCGGTTCGTAGAACCTGCATCTGACCCCCTCGAAGAACTGTCTGAGCTATTCGAGCTAGACATCGGGAGGAAAAGGATTCTAGGAAAGTACTCACCCAGAAAAAGCAAACGGACTACGGGAACTTGAACGCGAGCTAAAAACTTGGATGCGAACTGAAACTTGGACGCGAGCTCAAGAAGCAAAACGCAGGATAATGACAATGAAAAGCGACTGGGGTCCCCCACTATTTATACCCACAATAACCGAAAATCAACGGTTCTGATCAAGGCAAATCCAACGCCCCGCAGTCGCGCTGACCGCACGTCTCCTGAGACCGAGACGTGACTGGCCGCACGTCTTTTGAAACTGAAGGAGCGTCGGTGCACGTCTCCCCACGTTAAAGGCGGCAACTGCGTGTGTTTTCAAATTTGAAATAACGCCCGCTGTCACGTCTCCCAGCGGCGCGTTTTTTAATTTTTGAAATAAACGCGTGCTGTCACGTCTGTCAGCATTTATAGACGGATTGACGCGTTTCCCAACTTTTTGGCGCTCGAGAAACCCGGAAAAATCCTGACGAACGCGCACTTCGCGCTATCAGTCAAACTAGTTTGAAATACGGGTCAAATCCACCTGCCACCTCACGAACTCCCCGCGCCAGGGCAAGCCCCTTTGCGCGAGGAGTGGGGGGCAATTGATGAAGGAAGATTTGGCCCGACCTCGTAACCACTCAACACGTGGAAAAGGCAATAGCTTGGCACAACAGTACGCCCAAGGCGCGAGCTCCAAAAGGAGGAACCAGCGGTCCGAACTCTCCCTTTGACCCCGGGCCTTACAATGAGCACAAAGGGCAACAACCCGAACTGGCCCGCCCCAGGGCAGTTCGGGCCACACCTCTATCCGAACTCAAGACTTCACCTCGCACACCACTCCAGCACTTCGCCCCCAGGACGCCGAATTGAACAACTGTACCGTACCTGACACCAAAGGGGTCCGTATCCTAAGGCGGCGCACCTGTCTGACTTGGGATCTGACGCTTGACAAGCCGCACTTCAACGGCCACCTGCCACCGCCATCTCCAGTTACAGTGATGGCTCCGACAAAGAGAGCAGTGGCGGTTCTGCCCTAGCAGAGGTGATGACACCCGAACTGGCAGAAGCGCAAAGGTAATCATACCCGACCTGACAGGAGCTTGGGAGTGAGTGTGCGAAGTGGTTATAAAAGGCCCCCTTCCCCCCAAGAAGAGAGGTAGGTGATAACTTTGCGCCATCTGGTTTTTTATCTTGCCTTTGAGGAAATACTAACGTGAGCTTCAGAGCATTCTCACCGGGTTCTTCCCCAGAGATTATTCGTCTCCTCCATTTCAGGCACCTTTTGCTCCAGCCCGAAGCAAGATCGTTAATAGATAGGACTGGCCGGATTGTGCACTATCAATTATGATTAAAAATAAATAAGACACAATTACTATCTTACCCCAAAAATGTTCTCAACGGCCGAGGCAACAGTTGAAGTTTTTCCTTTTGAATATGCCTCACATGAGGATGTGCTTCTAGGCACGCGCCTCACACATTTAAATCACATGGTTTATCTTGTAATCGCCATTAGAGTGGTCCGATCAAATAGACCACTGCAGTGCTGGAGGTGTCTGGCTTCGACATACTGCCGTCGACTTAATTGTTAGAATCACCAAATTCAATGTAGCATTAAACCACTCCAAGTGTTCAAACTGCATAGACTATCACAATGATGTATTGTCTAGGTTGAGCCGTCTGGTTCTTTGAATTGTTATAAAAATTAATTGGTCTAACCAACTAGTTGAACCATCCATTCCGATAAGGCAATAACTGACAATGGATGAAGTACCAGTGGGGCCGACCACTTTGGACCGGTTGGTCTATTAAGTAATTGGCAAAAGTTGGTTGGCTCAACCATAGATTGAAAACATATAATTGACTGTCCTATTTAGGACCAAATGTCATATATATATATCTGATATTTGTCAAAATAGTTTCAATAAAAATGAAAGAAAATACTAATTTTCAGACAAGCAAAAATATGAATCGATTCAATTATTAATCAAAATAAAAGCATGAACTAAAACCATTATAATCGATTCAATCGTTTCAGGTCCGTTGGATAGATCTGACCCATTGATAGCCGAACCCATACTCTTGAGTCTTATCTTAATAGTAGAAGCAAGTCCTGTTTTAGAAGTGTGTGGGGGCGGGGGGAGGGTTAGCCAAAATGGGAAATGTAGTATGTATTTGGTACATCTTCTATTTATTAAATAAATGTTTATATTTGATTTGTCTTTAAAACCAAGAAAAAACTAGTTGATTAACATATTGTTGAGATTTATTGACAGTTAGACGTCACTAACGTTATATAAATTGAACAATGGAACAGTAAATAAACACTTTTGTGTGAGAAGAAGTGTTAATATGAAGTTTATTACAAATGTTGACTTACACATAAATCAAAACAAGAATTTATTACTATTTAGGTATAGGAAATAAATGTGATAAATGCTGATTTTGTGATGACATGGCACCGTTTGATAATGGAAGTTATACCACGGTTACCACCCCAGTGGGTGAGAATCGTGAGATCTTATTTTTGTGGTGATTTGACACCTCCGTGGCGCTCATGCCCGTGACACTAGCATAGGACAAAGTTACAATCCACCGTCACAGCGTCACCGTGGTATACTGGTATTTTCATAATTGCAGAAAACCTATTTTCACGGTTGCCCTTTTGTGATTTGAGAACTCCCGTCATTGAGAGGGCTGGCTGGTGATGATAGCATCGTTTTCTTTGACCAAGATAGCCATGTCGGGAGCGTTCTCGTCTGATCCCTAGAGATTTATGCCTATGACAGGTAGATGCACTCTACATACGGGTTTATCAATCTACTCAAATCCAACGGTTCAAGACTCTTGCACCTGGTCCTATAATCCTCTCGTGCATTTTCTAACATTTTTCCCTTTCCTTCTCCACCTCCATCTCTTTGCTTCGGCGTCCGTTGGCCCTTCCAATCTCAGGCGCCGTTGGAGTTCCGACGAAACCCAACATCTCAGATCTTGTTTTTTTTTTGGTTTTGTTTTGTTTCATATAACTCTGAATTTCTGGTGAATATGAATTGTTTGGTGTGATCAGGTATGCTTACTTTCTCTCTGTCAAATCATATTTTCAATCATTCATAGCAACTGCTAAATGTCAGTCCCAAACAACTACTTTTAAAATCGAGAATTTTCTATTGTCACAAGAATTTGGAGTATTGCAGTAATTAGTTTACTTTGATTAGACTCCTTTCCTTTCTTATAAACTCGAATTTCTCAAGAGATATTTCTCTGCTTTCTTCGTCCGTGTTTTTTACGTCATTGGTCTATTGGCTTTTGATTGATCTCTGCGCATTTCTATCATTTTGATTTACTATTTATCAAATTTAATTACTTTACGTGAATCTAGGACTAGTTACTTGCAATTGATTGGTGAATGCATCTGATTTTGGATTAAATATTTTCCTGGTGTAAAAACTTCAGTTATTTTGCTCACAAAACCCATTTGGTCTTGCCAAAAAAAAAAAAAAGAAAACAAAAATCATTTTGTGGTCTTTATCTGCACTTTCAATTGGACTAGAGTTCTTTCTTTTGGCTTACTTTTTTTTTTTTAATAATTTTTTTTCTGTTTAACTGAAGATACATGTATTGGTGATTATGGTTATTTTTGTTCCTATGTTATAGTGGGCATTGCAGGATAATCATGGTAAATTAACCATGGTTGACGTTTATATAAAATTCTAAACATATTTTGGCGTTCAGGTCAGTTGATGGGCTGGAATGAAACTTCTTTTCCAAATGATTTGGTTCAGAACAGTTGATGGGCTAGAATGAAACTTCTTTTCCAAATGATTTGGTTCAGAACAGTTGATGGGCTGGAACGAAACTTCTTCTCCAAATGATTTGGTTCAGAAGTGTTGATGTGCCATAAATCTTGACGGGAAGCATGAACTTCGTTAAGGGTGTTGCTGACCTCATTCGGAGAACATCCAGTGGCCATTCTGGAGATTCTGGTTCATGGTCACATAAGTTCTCTTCTCCATCTCCAAAGATCTGTTTTAGGTACTTCTATCCTGTGATTTCCCATAATGATGCTTATATCCTTTTTCATTGCATATGTCTTGCCATTATGTATGCTTTTTTTTTTTTAATATCTTAGTCAACCTAATATTTGCAGGATATTACAATTCAGAAAGTTTTCCTTTTTTTTTTTCTTCTCTGAGTTGCTTGTCCTTCTTATTAGATTATCCTATATCAGAAACAGAAAAAAAAGGCAAACATAGATGCTACCTTATCAACCCATCCAGATTGTACTCTCTTTTGTTTTAATGAAATTTTCTTTTTTTTACTTATCGAAAAAAAACATAGGAGTATGTAGGTGGATACAAGACCAGCATACAAATGCTTGAAATTATGGTTTTTACTTGCAAAGTGTTTTGAAATGCTTGAGTAAGACTTCAGAGATCTTATTGAAGGGCAATCCTCCTAATGGCTTCACTATGGTGGTAGCTCAATCCTAAACCCTGGGTTGGTTTGCATAGTTTTTCCTATAGAGTGGATCATAGCATCTTTTTGGTTTTAGTAGTCCCATTGATGTTACAAACTAGTCCGAAGTGTGAGTCAGGTCCCTCTTAATCAATTTCTGTATTGCAAAGCAGGGGAAACTATCCTCCCTAGTCTTGCCATAGAAGGTAATTCATTAACACAATTAGATGGGGGGAGTGAGGATATTGGCCCTTGGTATCTTGTTCACTGCATTAATGAAACTGGGAGATTTTGGTTGGAATTAAGGCACATAATATATTGGATTCTTGGAAATAAATGCAACATTTAACAGTGTGGATATAGATGTGGTTTGGGAAGAAGTGGAGGAGCTAGATGAGGTTTGGGAAGAAGTGGAGGAGCTAGATGTGTGGATATATATTACCAATATCCTTTTTCATTCTTCTTAACAGTGTCTCATCTGAATTTTTCCAAGTCTCCAGAGGGTCGAGACAAGGGGATCCAATCTTCTCCTTGCTATTTGTATTAGTGATGGAAGTGCTGAATCTACTTATGAAGAAAGGAGTTCAAAAGGGCTGGTTTGAAGGCTTCAAAGTGGGTTTAGATGGTCCGTGTATTTCTTACCTTCAATATGCAGATGACACGCTCTTTTTTTGGATGCATCTGTAAATTAGTCCTCTGGAAAGGTTGGGAGGAAGAGAAGAAAGTTTATCTTGTCAGTTGGGATCAAGTCTGCCTCCCCATGGAGGAAGGAGGGCTGGGTTTAAGGAAAATTAAGGTCTTTAATTCGGCTCTCCTTAGTAAATGGATTTAGAGATTTTCTCAAGAAAGAAGTGCATGGTGGAGGAATCTTATAGCAGCCAAATATGGTGTGAATAGGGGCAGCTGGAGTTCTCAGGATCCCCTACCAAATTGGGGCTGTTCCATTTGGAAAGGCATTATGAAAAATTCCCCACTTTTGGGGAAGGTTTAAGCTTCAAAGTTGGGAGAGGTGACATAATCAGCTTCTGGAAGGACCCTTGGTGCTTGGAGAATCCTCTATCTGAGATTTTCTCTCTCTTGTTTCAGTGTGCTGCAAACCAAGATGCCTATTGCTGAATCCTATTCCATCTCGGGTAATGTTGTGACCTGGGTTCCCTAGTTTAGAAGAAATTTGTTTGACTGGGAATTGGAAGCGGTTTTGGGACCGCTGGCAACTCTCCAAGATCAGAAAATTGACTCCACTGTGGAAGATGAGTGGAGGTGGAAATGGAGTAATGATGGGTGTTTCTCAGTCAAGTCAATGCCTCTCAAACTCAGCAGTTCAGGTGCAGTGAATTTTCCAAGTAAGCAGATTTGGAACTCAATCAGCCCTTCCAAAGTCAATTTCCTATTCTGGACTATGGCCTTGAACAAGTGTCTGTCCAGAGTTAATCTTGAAAGAAGAGGAATGCAGCTATCAGATGTCTCTTGTGGTCTATATGGGCTGCAACTTGAGTCTACAGATTATCTGTGCCTGCATTGTCTAGTTGCTGCCCAGGTGTGGGATCACTTTCTTAGTGCTGTGGGTATGCTGGGTCACGCTGAAATCTGTCAAAGACCTATCATGTTGCTGGATAATTAGGGGCTTGAAGGAAAAAGGAAAGCTGGTGTGGAGTACCTGTGGCTGTTCTTTGGCCCATTTGGACTGAAAGAAATAACAGAATTTTCTGTAATAAAAAGAAAAGTCCAGATGAGATTGTGCAGAGTGCAGTCAGTAAACTGGTCTCCTGGGTAGCTGTCAGTCCAGTTTTCAACCATATGAATGTTTTCCAGTTTCTTAGGAATCACCCTTTCTGGTGTCTGTAACTGTTGTTGAGGTTTGATCTGTCACTATGTAGACAGATCTCTGTTGTATCTTCCTTCAGTTTTTAATAAAATTACCTTACTTTTTTTTAAAGAGCTATTTTGGCAAATTTTGAGATGTTGACAGGGATGAAAGTGAATCTAGAAAAAAAGCCTCTTGGTTGGAGTTGGAGACTTAAGTCGAGAGGATATGGAGCAGTTTGCAACTGTGCTGGAATGACCCGAGAAGATCGAAGAAGGGGCCGTTGCTGAGTGGCGACTTGAGAAACCTTTTCACATTAGGAAGCTTAAAGCTGGTTTTTTCTTGTTCATCTTTAAATGCAAGGAGGAGGCAAGTGACATCTTGTTGAGTGTACAGAATAAGGTTTGAGAACCTGATCTCAGAGTTGGGAGATGGAATCCTCTAGTCGGAGTAATCAGGGATATGGGTCCTCTGAATATGGTGTAGGTTACTGTTTTTGGGATACCCTTGCATGTGTGGAGCTTTCAAACTTTTAAGACAGTGGGAGATGCTTGTGGTAGATTTAGATTTGTTGACGCTAGAACAATTTTGTGGAGAAACCTTGTTGCTGCTCGTATTTTAATTAAAGTCGATGAAATCCACCTTGTTCCTACTTCTCTTTCTCTTCGTTTTGCCAGTGAATCCTTCAACTTGAGACTGGTTGTTGAAGGATCTTACCCAACAAGGTGGATTGAGAACATGGAATTGTGAAGAGGAGAGACCCATAAGATTAGTTTGGGTTCTGGCGATGTTGGAAGGAAGATGAATAGTGAGGCCTAAAGGAATGAGCACAAGGTTGAAGATGAGAGTATTTTTTTAAGCAAAAATATTTATGATTCGGTTGGGGTTTTTACCTTGGGTTGCATAATGGACAGTGTAAGTAGAGTTCCACAGAGAATTAAAAGTGGTGGGGCGAATAGGCTGGGACACATGGTAAAGGAAGAAAGGAGAGTTTTGGGGAGATGAAAGAAAAGGAAAAAGTTGGTTTTTCAGAAGACGAAGAGACGACTCAGGCAGGAAAAGCTGGAGAAAGCTCGATTGCAGTCCAAACTTTGAAGACAAAGGTCATCAATAATGTTGGAGAGTTTTCTGCGAAGCGTCATTTCAATTTAAGGGTTTCGAACAAGAGAAATTTCAAGCGATTACGAAAAGTTAGAGGTGTACATTTCAGTTTAAATTTTATGGGAAGAGGCATTGGAGTCTGAGTCTCGAGACTACTCATGAAGTGTTTCCGTAGAGTGCTCAATGTGGAAGCTCTGTTGTTCCCCTCTCAATCTAAGAGAATTCTGCGATTAAAGGAAGAGGGGGAAGACAAGTTCGATTCAGCAAGCAGGTAAGTTTATCTCTTTTGGTGACTTTCTTGTCGAGATATTTTCATTTTTGTCACAGACATGGAATCTAAAGGAGGGGACTCAAGTGGCTGTTTGTTTAGAAGGCTCGGAAGGTCAAAAGGAAGGAAGGGAGGTGGTTTTTGGGGAAGTAGCAAAGGAGTTAGTGAGGTGGGAAGGGGAGGACAAGGATTGTTTGGAAGGGCTGGCTGTGGAGGGGATGATGCTAAGAGTGTGAATACTGAATTTGGTGATGAGGTTGCGAGAGAGGCTTTGGATAAGAATGAAAAAAGTGGCTGTTCTGTGGACTGCGAGGATTTTCAACAGTTTGAAATCTCAGTTGGTCGTATAGGAGTTCATTTAGGGTGGAGAAGAGCTATGAACAAAGTGTAATAGGACCCACAGAAAGGAGTGAAAAGAGAGCCAAGCAAGTGTCGCCTTGTTCATGTGTCTAAGGTTTTCTCGAGGTTGAAAGACAGATTGATTAGGGCAGGTCCTTCTAACAAATAATAAGAGAGTGTACAGAAGGAAGAGATTAAAACGTTTAGATGCAAAGAAGAAGGATAATGAAAGGATGGGGGAGGAGATTCTGTAGAAGGGGAGGTGAAGTCGACCCTGACAAAAGAAGGGTCAGGGGAAAAGAAGGGGTAGATCAAGCTGGTGCGGGTAGCCCTACTTTGTCTCAACAAGCCGACAAAGAGGGGGGGGGGGAAGTGGAGATTAAGACCTTGGTGGATAGGGAGGTTGAAATTGGCAAGAGTTTAGGGCTGTTCTTTTGGGTAGGTGAAGAGTTTGCTAGAAACGCTTTTGAAAAATTTGAATTGAGTAAAAGGGAGGAGAAATTGAAGAAGATGAGGCAACGGAAAGAAGAAAAAAATTGGGATGAGGAAGATGATGGGCTTAACAAGTCGTTCGATCCTGAAGACTACCCGATGTTTGAAGGGTGGTTTTGTCTTTCTTTTTGTCAGTTTTGCGTCTTTGAAAGCCTTGTTGTATGAAGGGGGGGGGTCCCAGTTTTCCTCTTGTTTGTTTCGTGACTCTGTAAGCTTTGCTGTATGAGGGGGGTGGGATTTCTCAGTTTTTCTTTTGGTTAGTCTTGTGTCTTTGTAAGCTTTGTTGGGTGGTAGTTCGTGTGTTATCTTAACACCCCTGTAGTGCTGTAATATGCTCTTATTTTATCAATAAATTTTTTCTTTTACTCTTAAAAAAAAACAGTATTTTAATCACTGATCACTACTTGAAGATCAGAGGATTCAACTCGAAAAGCTACTGTTATCTGTGCAACTTGGATGAGGAGACAGTTCTCCATCTGTTCTTTTCTTGCAAAGTGGCAAATTTTATATGGAAGCTCTATTCTTTAGTGTCTTTCAACCATCATCTCTGGCAGAAATTTTCTCTTGGTGGCC